CATGCCTGCTTCCTTGGTTGGGTCTCAGAAACCCTTCCTACTCTCATCTCTAAATCCTAAGAGTGATGCTTAGCCTCTGGAGGCTTGCATTCCAAATCTAATGAAGCAGTGACAACAAAAGTACTTTCCATCCCCAGCTCTAACCTCCAGTGTATTATTCTGACTTGAAGCAACAGAAACCCAATCCAACGCCCTTAAATGCTAAAGAGAGGTTATTATCTCCTGGGCTCCTGTAAGAGGTTCTAGTGGTGTCTCAGTGATAGGTAGAAATAGCAACCCCAACCTCTTTTTCAGTCCCTCATCTCAGCTCCTGTCTGCATTCACTTCATTGTTCTCTCTGCTCTGCAAGCCAGCCTCTGCTTCCCAGGCCCACACAGCAGGAAGCATGGTCAAGCTTTGCACTTTATGATCCAGCTTGAGTCAAGTGCCCACTCCTGGTGCAATCAACTTGACCAACAGGATGGAAAGCTTCAGTTAATCAGGTAGGGGTTAGGCATATGCCTGGTGTAACCATGGCAACTATGGATGGGAAAGGATGAGTGTGCCCTAGAACAAGGTGCCAGCCAGTACCACTGCATCCACTGCTGCCACTCGTGTCCTGGGGAGGGTACTTTGGTGCCTCTGTGCACTAGCTTTGTGGCGCTGGTCTTGTCGAACATCTTGTGTCCTGATTCAAAGCCATCAGATCATCATCTATCTGCCTCTCACAGTCGTGCTTTCCTACAGGCTCCTCCATCCCTGAGCTGTCACGTCCTCCAGGGCCCCATCATTTGAAACACCATTTCTTTTAACCTTGGGGCCAAGGTCTCTGCATGCTTCAGCCTCTAGGGTTAGTTCATGTCAAACGCTGGCTGGTAATTTTTTTTAAACCTCCTGCATGGCAGTGAGGTCTCTTGGTGCTTTTCACATTAGCACAGTGCTTCTGTTGTACTGCAAGCCACCAAGATTTTCCCTCCTCCCAGGAAAAGAAAAGAAGAGAGTACAAAGTAAAGCTAGACTCTTCTCTCCCAGAGATTCCTGGGCATTGAGCAGGTTGGGACCTGAAGACAATCCCATCGGGGCACCGTTGTCCCCAAGTGCAGCTAATTCTGAACTGAATTCTCCCCTGTGGGCCAGATAGCAAATTAATGATCCACCCATACCTTGCATTTCTCATTGTCTCATCTAATAAATGTTCCAGATCTGAAACTGTCTGAAACCCTAACCCTAATCCAATTAAACCCTGCTACAGCAACTAGACTTGAGAAAGACAAAAAGGTGGAGAGGTTAATAGCAGACAGACCTCCACTGACAAGCTAAATTAGCCTTGCCCACCTCGGGAGAAATGTTAAAAGTAGATTACTGCGACTGCCGGTGGTGATTAACATTTGCTCAAAATTCTAAGTAGCTGCTTTTATTTTTTTCTTTCCAAGTTAAATGTTAAGCTGCAGAAAGAGGAACAGGAGCGACAGGGAGAAGAGCTAAGCAGCAAACAGAAGGACCCACCTGCTGGTTGGATGTCTTCTACCCAAAGTCACTGAGGCCAGGAACACCGAGGAACCATCTCCCACTCATCCTTGTTTTCTTCTCAGGGAGGAAAGATGGAAATTTGAAGAGCATCCTTAAAGAGGAGCTGGGTACCAGAGTGAGACGGGAGGAAGGGAGGCAGCTGCGACATCTGAGCTTGGAGACGAAGGTCAGGAGCTTCTTGCAGGCCTTCTGGGTTTATACGCCTATGAACTGGCCAGTGGGTGGGTTTGTTCTGACACCACAGCAGCTAAGGCTGAAAAAGCAGCATCACTACCCAAGGTACCTAGGCCTGTGGTGCAGCCAGGTGATATTCTCGGTGCAGATAAATACTGGGATTTTCCTGGACTTCCTGCATGTAAAAGCCTCATGTTGGAGACCGTTGAAGCTGAATACACATGCAAGGCTGTGGTGTGGCGTGGCCTGAGCCTGATTGAACTGAAAATGAGGAGATACCTCAGGGGGCAAGGTGGGCCACAGCTGAGGCCACCTAGAGGCTTCCTGGATAGTTTTCCTTAATTAGCATCTTCTGTTGCTCTGAGGGGTCCTTGAACCCCTCCCAGATCCTGCTGCGGTTTCCTCCATTGTCCACTCAACTCCTTGCTTGTTCTGATTATATATGGGCTGGCCAGGGTCAGGCAGCTGGCTGGTAGCAGAGTTACAAGCTTTGCTGAGGATTTCAGTCCCCTGATGCCCTAAAGATCATGCTGCTTGTCTTATTCCTTTGGGCCTTTGCCGTGCACGCATCTGGGGGATTGGGGATCTAGGCACAGACCCCAAAAGCCTCATTCCTCACTCCTAGTGCGCACTGTTGGTGAGACCTCAGTGTGAAAAGAAATTCAGTCCTCCAACAAATCGTGAGGAACAGCATTAGCACACAAAGACACTAAAGATCTACGATGAGACAAACAACAATGTGACACAGACCCTACCTTTCAGGAGCCCATAATACAGGAAAGAGGGCTGGAGATTTAGCTCAGTGGCATAAGCGCCTGCCTTGCAAGCTCTCGGTCGTGAGTTCTATCCCTAGTAAGGAAAAAAAAATACAGCATGGAGAAGGCTTGTATAAACAGTTAAAAACATACCAAGAAACAATAACACAGTGTTGTTTAAAGGTGATGCAGTCGGCTGGGCATAGTGGTACATGCCTATAATTCAAGGATTTGAGGAGGCTGAGGCAGGAGGATTGAAAGTTTGAGCTCAGCCTGGGCAGTTTAGTGGCTTAACAAGACCCCATCTCAGAAAAGAAATGAAAAGAAAAGAAGAAAGAAAAGTCATATGGTCTCAGAAACATTCATTGGTAAAGCTGCCATGGAATCTTTAATGGCAATTCCTCAGAAAGTTAAATATAGAATTATCACATAACCCAGAAATTCCATTTCTGGTACACATCCAGTTCCTGAAAACAGAAACTCAAATGCATGTGACCACACCTATGTCCACATGGGCATGTTAGAGATTTTTGACCAGGGTTATTCCTGGTTGGAGTCTGGCTTCAGTAAACTTGGTCAGACCACAGCTGGGTGAATGAGTTGGAGGACAGCGAGGAAAGACTAGAACTTGGACCGTGGGTCGTTAAGGAAGGGCCCAGGTAAGATTTCTAGCAAGCTCTTCTCTGGGCTTGAAATGGCTCCTTTGGCATTTAAGTTTGGAAAAATATCCAAAACATCAAAAAGACTTCTTTGGATTGTTTTGTTGTTGTTGTTGTTTTATAAACAGGGTCTCAGTATGTGTCCCAGCGAGCCTTGAATTCAGCGGTCCTTCTGCTTCCATGTTCCGAATGCTAGGATTCCATAAGCACACAGGAGCCACCTCACGAGATTTTTATTTTTTTGGACAAAGTCCCATTAAATTGCCCAAGCTGATCCAGGGATATAGCTCAGCAGCACAGCGCCTGTCCCGCAAGTGTGAGGTCCTGAGGTTCAATTCCTGATACAAAAGAAAAAAAAAGTATGGTCAAATTGCCCAAGCTGGTCTCATATTTACCATCCTCCAGCTTTGGCCTCCTGAGCTGATGGGATTCCAGTCCTCTACTACATTAGGCGGCCCAAAGAGACTTTAAGCATAAAGAAGACACAATCTGTCTTAATCTGCTTTATGTTAACATTGCACTAGCTCTCACCTATTGAGGTCCCACTGCCTCAAGACCACCACTCCGAAGCCCATGCTTCTAGCACATGAACATTTGGGAAACACAACACATCCTAACCCTGGCATCTCTTACTGAGGACAAATGCTGACAACCATATGCTTTCTCCTCTCTCACAAATTTTGACTAATCCCACTCTGAATGCAGCCTCCACGCATCCACCTACCTGTGCTCTCCACATCCTCAGCCCTAGGGGTAGGGGTGGGGGTATATTGGGGTGGTTTGCACCAGATCTTGAGAGCTACTTAGGAATTTTGTAAGAACTATGGGCAGAGGCCCCACTGGGGACTATTTATACAATGGACGTCAGCCCACGCTAGGAATGAAGGCTTTTGTTTCTGGAAACCCCATTGGCCTGCACATCACAGGTATTAAATGTGTAAGGGCTTTATTTGGGAAAGTGCTGGTGGGAAGGAAGGCAAAAAAGGTAGAAAAGAGTGCCAGAGAGCTAGGAAATGACAGTGGGAGAGGAGGTGCCCCAGTCTGGCCAAAGAAGGCTCAGCAATGCCGAGAGCCAGCCTGTCTTAGATTCTTGCAATGCTCCGTTACTTAGTTACTTACAGGGAGCAGTCTGCAGGAAGCACAGGCTCAGTAGGCATTTTGACAGTGGATCACTGAGCTCAGCAACCAGGGCCCTTGTTCATTTATGCTCCCTGGAGGTAGTGGTCCTTAAGGTACATTCTTGTTACCATCACCGTCCACCCCTTGCAGCACACACATCTTCTCTGAGCAGGAAGCAGCGCTCCCGGATTCCCCTGGACCTTTCTTCTGGGCACTGTGTGCCTCTAGTGGGATGCTTTCTTCCAAGCCTCCATCACTGCAGTTGATCTTGGATCTACAACTCAAGCATCTCCAGCTTTCCTCTGCTCCTGGCTATCAGGTCAGCAGGTATTGGTAGCTTACCTGGTATGGCTGCCATTCTTCATAGGTCTAAGTCCGTGAGAAACAGCCAAGCAGAGCAGTGTACACTGGTAACCCCAGCTCCTCTAAGGCTGATGGATTCCAGCCTGAGCAACATAATGAGACCACAATCAAAAAACCAATTAAAAAAAAGAAGAACCAGGCGTGGTGGCACATTCCTGTAATTCCAGCACTCAGGAGGCTGAGGTAGGAGGATCATTGCAAGTTTGAGATCATTCTGGGCTACAAGTGAGCCCAAGGCCAGCCTGAATCACATAGCAAGACCCTGTCTCAAAAAGACAGAAGAACATAAAGGAGGAGGAGGAGAAGGAGGAGGAGGAGGAAGAGGAGGAGGAGGAGGAGGAGGAGAAGACGATGGAGGCAGGGCTGATGGCATGCACCTGTAATCCCACTACTCTGTGAGACTGCAGTGGGAAGATATATGGAGAGTTCAAACCCAGCCTGAACAACCTAGCAACTTAACAAGACCCTGTCTCAAAAGGACTGGGGATATAGCTCAGGGCAAAGGCCTTGAGTCCAACCCCCAACACCACAAACAAAATAAAACAGAAAACATTAAATCAATTTGGGGTAGCTACACATGTCCATTCCCAGTTACAGTGAGGCCGAGAGAATACCAGGAGAACACGCCAGTGAACCCCTTGGTTACCCACTGCCCTCACTGGAGGGAAGCAACCTGACTCCTGCTAGTCAGTAACGCCTGCCAACACAGCTCTGCTGTCCACATGCTGGTTCTGTGTTCAAGGAGTCCTATGCGTAAGTGTCCTGGTGGTAGCTTTAACGGGATGCAGCTTTAACCTGGTGATGTGGCGAACCCTCTTTTGGGACCAGAACTGCACAGCAAGCAGTACAGAATCGCCCAGTGTGTCCTTTAGAGTGGTGATTAGCAAAGTGACTTCTGTGTCTCCCTTTTTTACAGACTCGTGCATCTTTCCTCCTGGGGACACAGCGCCACCCATATACACTGAAGGATGACACCTCATCTTCTCATGGTGCTGCCTCTGAGCTGATATCTCAGCTACTCCCTTAGAAGGACACTCCAGAGCTCCATGAGGCATCTGTCCCAGGGCAGTGCAGAATGTGACACGATTAGTGAATCCCATGTCACGGTGACAAACTGTGGTCCTTCCTTTCTTGGACGCCATGCTGGGGCTGTGGGTCGGGCATTCTGTAAGCCCTCAGATAGTGGTGCTGGCAGAGGGGCTATGGTCAGGTACAGCAAATCCATCCCCAGGACAAGTGTAGACCCCCATGAGGACAAGCCATGGCCCTCAGTGATATATCAGTAACAGTTCTGTCACTGACAGAGGTGTCTGTGGCTAGCCTGGCCTCAGCAAGTCAAAGTCCACTCTAGGACCCAAGTGCAGCCTCCACCTGTGCCAGCCTCCCATGCTGTTCATGTGCCTGTTGCTGCATTTCCAGCATGGACAGCGACAGTGACCATCGCTGACCCAGTCATCTCACGTGTCCCTCACCCCTCACTGGTCAGTATGTCCTGGGGACAGAAAGGTGTGTAACAAAAGCCCTGACACTTAGTGCACACTTACACATGCACAGGCCACCACCCCAAAGTCCCTGAGCCAGTGCCCAGGACTTGCATAAATTCTCACCTCGGGCCACTTTCCTTCCATTGTACAGCGGCCAACAGGGCACTCTGTTCATTGAAACTTCCCGCCCTCACTGTCTTCACAGAGCACTCTGAAGTGGCTGCCATTCATTTCTGCTTTGCTCCCACGTAGCAAACTAACCCATTCAAAAATTGAAGTTGTGATTTTTCATAAGCTCTGCATTGCGTTGCTTCCCAGCACTGACACCCGAAGTGCCAGAGGCGGCTAGAATTTACAGCCCACGGAGCAGAGCAATTGCACCAGGACATGGGCTTGCAGAAGCACCCTGCCCCTCTGGGACTTGCTCAAAACTAGCTATACTCAGTGTTCCCCAGCCTTGAACCACAGCCATCCTCTTTGGTGTGCCAAGCCCAAAGAGGCTGCCAGGGCTGGGCTCCCTTCACTGGGCAGAGGATGCAGGATACACAGCGTGTTCTTTGCTTTGGTGGCCCCTGACCACTGGAGCCCTGAGAACCTCACTGGAGAGCAAGGGACTTTCTCCCCACCCCCACCCCCTGGGGTGCACATGTCTCAGACAGGCTTCCAGCATTCTGGCCCCTCTTCTAGTCCTGACCAGGCTTCAGGGTGGCATCAACCTAATGACACAATACAGAGCTTTAGGGACTGTTTTATGATGGAGGCCAGAGACAAAACCATGAATGACTCTTGCTGTCCACCCCCACAGGAATGCAAACTGCTTCTGGCCCTCTTTTTTAGTTAGGATGGAGAACACACTTACCGAGTAAACAGCCGAACACCATGCACCCTGAAGCTCCAGAACCAAGACATCATGCTCAATTGAGGAGTGGAAATCAAGGCATGGCCTCATCTGTGGTTGTCTCTGTTCATCCTCCAGTGCCTGGTCAGCTTTGGCAGGGCCCAGGCGGACAAACTAAGTGGACCATCGCTGCGACATCTTGTGATGCAAGTTCTTATCAGCCCCCAAAAGGACGAGATACTGCTGTGCTGTTTTGTTTTTACTTTCTACTCCTGGGAGGGAGGGGATCAGTTTTTCAGTCTGTGTTCTGTTGCTATAATTAAATCCTACAGAATAGGTAATTTATAAAGAAGAGAAGGTTAGCTGGGGATGTAGCTCAGTGACATGCCTTTCTGCCTTCACAAATGCAAGTTCATGAGTTCAATCCCTGGTACCAAAAAATTTTTTAAAATAGAAGGTTAATAGCTCATAGTTAAGTGTGTGCTTAGCATGCACAAGGCCCTGGGTCCTATGCCCTGTACCAAAACAACCCCAAAACAAAAGGGAAATAAAAGAGAAGGGAGGGAAAGGAGGGGAAAGGGAAGAGAAAAGTTTTCTGTCCCATGGTTCTGGGAGCTGGGAAGCCCAGGGGCAGAGAGCAGCCAGGGCCCTTGGTGTTGCCTCATAACGTGGCACAGGGTTGTTATGGTTTTTATCTGGTTGTCCACCCAAAACCTCATTCACTCATAAGTGGAGACTGGGGAGGTGGCTGGATACTTCCCAGTGGGTTGGTCTACCTGTGGGTTGTGGCCACACGTGGTCTTGGGAAGTGAGGTGTGGTCAGGAAGCTGTGTCGCTAGGGGCCGGCCCTGAAAGGTCTGTCTCCTCCTCCTCCCTTCTCTCTCACTGCCTCCTGCCGCCATGCCATGGACTGCTCTTCCTCTGCCATGCACCCTGCCTTGGAGTCAGCCGATTACAGACGGAAACTGCTACAAACTGTGAGTCCAAATAGGCCTCCCCAACTCCAGGTTTTGGGCACTGTGTATTGCACCTCAGTGAGGAGAAAGCAACCAAGACAAACGCAGAAAGGCGGGTGGCTTCTTACATCCCGGCCGTTTCTTCTCCCTTCCTTTTTATACAATCCCTTAACTTGCTCAAAACCAGTTTCCAGCTCTGATGTCAGAGTCCCACAAGGTGCCTCTGGCCCAGACTCCCGGGATGAGAGCACAGTGGCCTGGTTGTCAGTCTGGCATTTCCTACTGAGCTTCTGCTGTATACACACAGCAGCTTCTGGGAGCAGAGGCTGTGACCCCGCCTGCTGTCCCCAACTCTGCTCCACCAAAGAGCCGGGTCTAAATTATTCAGCAAGAGTGAATGGTCTATTTGGGGTAATTCTCATCACACCTCATGGTGACTGCTTCCATTTTTTAAAATAGCCTCAAGTGTGACTATTAATCAGGATGCTATTAAAATATTACATGTCAGGATAACATTCATTTCTATCCCACAAATACTGTCACCAGCCCTGAATTCCTTAACAATGGGGCATTTGCAGGCTGTCCCTGTTCCAGAAGGTTCTGTCTGGCTCCTCCCAAGCTCTTCCCCCTGCAGGGGTCACCATGCCTCTGACCTCAGTATTGGCTCCTCTGTGGTTGGCTTCTTCTACTTGAGTATTTTTTTCTCCCGGTACTGGGGATTGAATCCAAGACCTTCACTGAGCTACATCTCCAGATCTTTTTTAAGTCACTAAATTGTCCAGGCGAGATTTAAATTTAAAACCTTCCTACCTCAGCCTCCCAGAGTGCTGATATAATAGGCGTGCATCACTGCAACCAACTGTGCTCTCGTCTCTTAACAGTATTCTTCAACTGTGAGACAAACTCTTTAATGATTATCTTCCCTGAGGCATTATAAACTTCACAAGGCAAAAAAGGGGCACATTCCATCCTGCACTTCAGCTTTCCTTTGTATTTTAGCCTGGAATAAGAATGTGATGCCTGGAGATATGGCAGCCATCTTCTGATAATGAGGACAAAAGCAAATGAAGGAGCAAGAAGGGGCTTCGGTCTTAGACAATGCCTTGGGCTGCCTGCCTTCAAACTGGTCTGCACAAAGAGAAGAAATCAGAAACTGACGCGGAGTAGAGCAGAGATGAAAGGCAGAGGAAGTCCCCCACCTGTGGCTGGCTCCCTCCTGCCCTCACCCTGTCCTCAAGCATCGCTAGGTCTCTGGACCCCATCAGGAGCCACCTGCCCAAGTGAGTGCTTCTGGAGCCGTGTCACCACTGACCCCGCTGACCCGTCCAGGGAAGGTTATCAGTATCCTCGATGGGCTCTCACTGGTAAAGAACAGAGTCATCTCAGGGCAGCCGCAAGCCTGGGTTTGGGTGTGGGACCCTCCTGCAGAGCACCCACCCACCCGCGGTGTCAGGGCGTCCACGTTGCCAAGTCCCTCAGCGGCTGCTGCCAGGCTGGCTAAGTGGTGACACATGCGCACTTCTGTCCTAGGTGACCACGCGTGGAGGATCCTTGGCCCGCGCTTCCCTGCGCGGTCAGAACAGTCACGCGTTAGCTGAGGGTTGTCGCCACGGTAAGACTTCTGGAATTCAGGGCACTGGGCATAGCCCGGCAGCCCAAGGCTCCTCGGAGCTGGACAGAGGCGGTGACACCTTCTGAGCCGCGTGCGACCCAGGCCCTGCTCCACCCCAGCGGCCCAGATGCTGGCTGGGCCCGGCCACATGCAAACCCAGGACACAGATTTCCCGAAGAAGCAGCAGCAGCCCAGCAGGGACCATGCAGTCCCTGTCACCAGGAGTCCCCCGGACCATTGTTTAAGAAGGCGGGGACCCCCACTGCTCCCTCTGCCCCCTGCCCAGCACCCGGGCCCAGTGCCCCCAACACGCTGCCTTTCAGCCCCCAATTGTGAGGCTCTCCCTGGCGGCCTCGGCCTGTCCCATGCTCTTCAGCTGGGCTGTCTCCCCCGAACCCCGTCCTGCACAGCGCCCCAGGGGGCCCACTGGACCACATACCTAGCGGCCCCTAAGCCGCGGATGCCTGAGTCCCTTCTGGGAAATAGCATAACGCTCCTTTAAATCATCTCCAAAAGGCTTCTAATATCTAGCACAAGCCGGGCAGGACGCCACAGGCCTGCGGTCCCAGCCCTGAGGGAGGCTGAGGCAGGAGGTGTGGCTCAGCATAAAGGTCCTGGGTTCAATCCCCAGTTCCAACCACGAAAGATAAATCTGCCTTGCCACCCCAAGTTCTCCCACAAAGCTCAGCAGCGTATATGTTTGTTTGTTTATTTATTTATAAAAATAGGATTACTCTATGGATACACCTGCAGCTGATTTGTGTCGGAGACATCCCAGAGCTAGACTCCTGGAGAACTTGGTTCCTTTTTAATAGCTGCATAGTATTCCATTTCCTGATGTTTTGTTTAATCGGTGACCATCTGGGTAATTTTCAGTTCCTTCCAATCGTCATGTTCCAACAAACTCATCTTGGGGTTTCCTTTTTACATATTTATTTAGAGAAGGAAAATTTATTGCAGAAAAAGAATGGAGAAATGGGGAACGGGACCAGCTATGAGAGACAGGTGGGGCCCTCAGTGGGTTACAAGGAGCCCACCTCTCAAAGGAAGTTTTAAAGAGCAAAATCATGAGGTGGGTGTGACGCAGGTCAAAATTACAGTCATCCAGTAGGATCGCAAGTAGAGTGGCTTAGGTACCACTGATCTCACAGTAGCAAGGGTGACATCTTAACCTTGGTGGGTAATCTACAGTCGAGGCCTTGTCTTTAGTCTTAGCAGCCTTCCTTATGATCTTAGTCTTAGTAGGTAGGAGAGTGTCGATGTCGCTCCCGGCCGGCAGGAAAGACACACGACAAGGTCTGGCGGTGGTCAGGCTTTTCTTTATTCTCTCCTTATACAGTCTGCCCCGAAGCCTCTACCGGTCCGCTCTCCGCGGCTCCTTCCGTGCTTCAGTCTGCCCCGAAGCCTCTACCGGTCCGCTCCCCGCGGCTCCTTTTGTGCTTCTCTCTCTCTCGGGGGTGGAGGCACTGGCTATATATAGGATTAATAGCTAGGCAGACTACCCTGTGAGGCGGGAACTTAGTGGGGTGATAAGAAACAGGTGCCACACAGGCGGGCTCGATGAGAGGGGTAATCTAGCTCAGGCTTTTGTACTTTCCCACAGGCCTCGCAATCACCGCGTCTGATGACTTGACAGTGCCACGGCTCCCAACATCTCCCCCTATTTTATTTTAAATGATGGCTACGCGCATCGCAGCCCGTCCTGGATAGAGTGCAGAGGCCTATGCCCCGAACTGAGGCCCACCGTAGGCCCTTAGCGTAGACCCTGGTCGGCCGTCCCAGGGTCCACCAAGGCCCTGAGGCCCTCGTCCTTTTTTCTAGGGCCAGGAATGAACCGGACGGAACCTGGTTGCACATAGGCATGCACTCATTTCTCTCCACGAATCCCCTCGGAGAGAAATTTATCTAACAATCCAGCGGCTTTCGAGCGGAACGGGGTAGGGCCTGGCTTAGGTTGAGTCGTGCTGGGGAGGCACGCTCTTACCCGTCATTGACTCACCCACCCTGCTACATGTTGTTGTCTAGGGAGGAGAATGTGGGAAGCCTGTCACTTTTAAACGCGGTCGTAGGCCATGCGAGCGAGCCATGCGTATACAAGGGTAGCACATAGGGGAGCAAGCCGTTCCAGGCCCCCAAAAAGGGATTGTCCTGCAGTTCTTTTAGGGCTCATCTTGTTGTTGGGTCTGCGGTTGGCCTCTGGTGGAACAGGCCTGATCTTTAGTCGAGGGACTTGTCGCGTCAACCTCTCTGGGACCCACATTGGTTCTCGTCCCGATTCCTGCGGAAAGACACAAACCGCGCCTCGGCTTCCTCTTTTGTATCTCTGCCCTCCTTGACGGACCCTTCTCGGGAGCTTCCTCACTGTGCCTGTTCAAACACCTCGCGTACTTCTACAAGTTCTTGAGAGCTCCCCCCGTAACTACCCTCACTCTTTAGGCACGTGTGTATCATTTCCCACAATGGACGAGCAGAGACTGAAGCTCTACCCTCCCGCTCTGCTAGGGAAAGGTCTCTGCCCAACTTTTCCCAGGAGGGCAGGTTTACATGCCCTGTAGGCAGAAACCAGGGAGCAAAGCTGTCAATCTCTGCAAGGAAATTTTCTAAAGTCTTACGCCCCACCTTGAGGTCCTTGGACTTTAGGAGTCTCCGAAGGACCAACACCAAGGCTGTGTATCTTTACTTGGCATGTTTCCCATTTTTAATATATCTTCTGTTATTTTTACTTCTATGTTTATGTTTTACACTCTTTTATTACCTTAAGTTCTGGTGTTATGTTTCATACTCACCGCGTGAGGCCCAAGAAACCCGCCACTTACGCGTGAGGTTGAGAGGAGTCTACAAACCCTGTAGGTGCGCGCCACCCAGGGCCCAGGCTTATCCTCTACTCACCTGTCCTGCAGCTGCAGCACTGTGTAGGAGAATGCAGTCCACCGCCGCGTCTCGGGGTTGATCAATCCCCGTGCGGGCCACCAAATGTCGATGTCGCTCCCGGCCGGCAGGAAAGACACACGACAAGGTCTGGCGGTGGTCAGGCTTTTCTTTATTCTCTCCTTATACAGTCTGCCCCGAAGCCTCTACCGGTCCGCTCTCCGCGGCTCCTTCCGTGCTTCAGTCTGCCCCGAAGCCTCTACCGGTCCGCTCTCCGCGGCTCCTTCCGTGCTTCAGTCTCTCCCGAAGCCTCTACCGGTCCGCTCCCCGCGGCTCCTTTTGTGCTTCTCTCTCTCTCGGGGGTGGAGGCACTGGCTATATATAGGATTAATAGCTAGGCAGACTACCCTGTGAGGCGGGAACTTAGTGGGGTGATAAGAAACAGGTGCCACACAGGCGGGCTCGATGAGAGGGGTAATCTAGCTCAGGCTTTTGTACTTTCCCACAGGCCTCGCAATCACCGCGTCTGATGACTTGACAGTGCCACGGCTCCCAACAGGAGAGGACGTTTTAAATGAGTTACATGCACCCACAGGACTCCTATGCAATTCAACAGGAATTCACAAAATTGCAGTGTGAGAGGAAAGGTAAAAAATCTCCCTTCTCTCCTGGGTGTCCCCATCCTCCCTCCCAAGCATTCAGGATCCTCTAAGAGGTGATTAAGATCAGTCACCAGTTTCTTTTCTGTTTTTCTTTGCACTTTATTTTTTTTTTTTTTCAGAACTAGGGATTGAACCCTTCAAGGCCTTTGTCTTGAGCTGCACCCCTAGACCCTTCCCCCTTTTATTTTATTTATTTATTTATTTATTTATTTATTGAGACAAGATCTGGCTCTATAGTTCAGGCTGGCCTCAAACTGCCAGCAACCCTCCTGACTCAGCCTCCTGGGTGCTGAGATTACAGGCCTTCGCCACCATGCCCAGCTCCCTTCCTCTTTTTGAAATTCTTCATTTTGAGATAAAAGGTCTTGCTAAATTGCTCGATCTGGGCTTGAATTTGTGATCCTCCTGCCCAGGCCTCCCAGGTGCTAGGGATTACAAGGGTGAGCCACTCCACCTGGCAGTGTCACTAATGTCTTACCTCTCACCCGGTATTGCCACCATTGAGTGAATAACTGAGGACTAAATTTCTAAATTGATTCAAATTGTTGAGCCAGAGAGGGTAATTTTTAAGTTGATATTGCCAACGTGCTTTCAGAAAGGTTGCACTGAGTAATTAGTAATTAGTGGAATACTAATTGGAAATTAATAAATAGTCATTTACATTCCTCTCGGCAGTAAACAATGTTTATTTCCCTGCACCCTCACCCTGCACCCACCGGCTATTTTCAAACCAGTCGCACAGGCGGGGGGTGGAGGGGGGTCCGGCCTCTGACCCGGAGGGCCGGAGCTGTGACCAGGTCCCCAGCTCTGAGTGTCGGGAGCCCTCAACTGCTGAGCTGTTCACATTTCTCTGCCCGTGCCTTGGTTGACTTGTTTATGGTTTTCTTATTGATCTGTTCATTTTTCTAGATAACATCTGCAAATGTTGTCCCCGCCCACGCGCTGGCCATGAAAGGACATCGCTCAGCTGCCAGCTTCCGGGCCTGGCGTCACTCTCTTTTGCCTTTTCCACCGTGACAGTGAATTCCTGGAAACCAGGGACGGAGAAGCCCCGGTGGCCCCGGGGGCCCGCGCCGGGAACTTGGCCGCCCAACCCAGCCCCATCCCGGGCCCGAAGTGGCCGGCGGTCATTGTAGAAAATGTCATCTCCGCGCCTCCCGGAGTCGCGCCCTGCGATCCGCGCGGACGGGAACCACGCGCGCTTGCGCCCCGGTGACCTCGCGTGGCCTCTCCTGCGCGCGTTCCCCTGAACGCCCCCTGCACGCGCTTCCGCGCCGGCGCGGGTCTGCAAGGCAGTGAGCGAGACCTTCCGTTTCCAGGCCGTCTGCCAGCTTCCGGGCCAGGAAGGCCGGGCTGACGCTGCGCGCGAGGAGTTCTCCGGCTGCGCTCCAGGTGCCTGTGAAAAACACATTAAAATAGAGTTAAAATAGTACCACGACGCTCCTCTCGTTAGTTCCCAAATCTGTTTCGGTGTTTGTTTGAGCTCCTAATTGTGTTTTAGCACATACCAGAAAAGACCAAAGAGGACACAATGTGTATTCTTTGCCCCGGGGATTGAACTCAGGACCTCACCTTTGCCAAGCAGGCACTTCCACCACTGAGCTACACCCTGGCCTGTGATGAGCAACTTTAAAGGTAGCAGCTGTGCCTGGTGTGAAGGAGGAGCATGAAAAGGTCCAGACCGGTAAAGGTCCCTTTCCCACCGCGGGAGTGTGAATGCCGCCCTTGCTGTTGAGACAGTCACAGGCTTGTGTTTCTTGTTTCTTTTTGTTCCATCATCAGTTGACACACTCCTACCTTCTTCGTATTTTCATTTGGCTGGGCTGTTTTGTTTTGTTTTTAGACAGTCGCCCAAATGGTCCAGGATGGCCTAGAACTCACTGGGTAGCTCAGGCTGGCCTTGAAGTCAAGGGGATCCTCCTGCTTCAGCCTCCCAGTGCTGGGATTACAGATGTTTGCCATCACACCCTGCTTTTTCGGGTAGTTTTGAATGTCATATAAATAGATTAATGCTGTATTTTTTTTTTTTTTTTTTTTTTTCTTTTTGAGGTAGGGTCTCACTGTGCAGTTCAGGCTGGCCTTGAGCTCACTTTGTAGTCCAGACTAGTCTCAAACTTGAAGCAGTCCGAATGCTGGGATTACAGGTTTGTGCCACAGTACCCAGGTTGTGGTTTTTGTATTATGTTCTTTTCCTCAACATTAAATTTCTAGCTTCATCCATGTTTATTCTAGGCAATTCTGCTTTATTTGCTTTCTCAGTAATCTTCCAGGATATGACCATGCTACTTCTTTTGATCGCACATTCTACGGATGATGGGTGCACCAGCCAGCTCCCTAAAGCTGGGTGGTGTAAGCTTTTTTTAAAAAAAAACAGTTTTATTGAGATGTGCTATGGGTTGAATTTGGTTTGTCCATGAGGATTCATGTGCCAGAGGCCTGATTGCTGACTGAGAAGTGCTGGGCCTTTGAGAGGAAAGGTCCAGTGGTCAGGTCAGCCAGGTGCTGCTGAGGAGGGAACTAATGTAGCTCTCCAGGGAGCCCCGTGAGTTCTCACCGGAGTGGGTCCTTAGAAAGCCCCTTCCCCTGTGGCCATTTCTTTCTCTGCTTCTCCATCTTATACAACACCAGCCCGAGGCGCCCTCCACCCAAGACAAGGGGATGTTTAGTCTCTTAAACTGAAAGCAGATGGACCTTTTCTTTATAAAGTACTGGGTCTCAGGCATTTTGTTACAGACACAGAAATGGAATGAATTATAAGACATAATTCACACACCAGACAATTTAACCTTTCAATTTGCACAAATTAGTGGTTGTTAGTATATTCACCCAGTGAGCCTATACTACCACAGTTGATTTAGAATATTATAATTACAAAAAAATGCCCTTAGAAAGCACTGCTCAACCACTTCACCCACCCCCGCCCCAGTCCCAGGCAGTGACTGTAGATTGCCTGTTTTGGATGTTTCTATAAGTCCATCACCTAGCATATCTTCAAGGTTCATCTTCTTTTATTTTTGTATTGGGAATCAAACTCACGACCTTGCACTTGCCAGGCAGATGCTAATGCTGCTGAGCTATATCCACAGCCCGATTTGTCTATTTTGTAGCAGGTATCAGAGCTTTATTTTTATTGCCAAATAATATTCCATTTTATCAATATGCTACATTTTATCCATCCACTCATCATTTAATGGATATTGGGATTTTTCCTCCTTTTTGATGATTATGAACTTCTGCATTAATGTTCAGGGACAAGTTTTCTGGGGGTATATTTTCATTTCTCTTGGGGATATACCTAGAGTGGAATGGACGGCCAGATAATATGGTAACCTTACAATTTAACCATCTGAGGAACTGCCACGCTGTTTTCTAAGCAAGTTTCTAAAGAAGTAAAGAAGTTTTAAAAACTCATCAGTAGTAAATCATGCTTCCAGATTCCTCTACCTATTATCTATCTAATCGTCTATCTTTGTGGTATTAGGAATCAAACCCAGGGCCTCACACATGCTAGACAAGCACTCCACCACTGAGTCACAATTGCTCACTTCTTAATTAGGTTATATCTTTTTGTTATTGAATTACAAGAGTCCTTACATGGTCTAGATAAATTCCTTATCAGATATATGATTAACAAGCATTCCCTTCTATTCTTTTTTTTAATTTTTATTTTAAAGGGGATAAAATTAAACAGAACAAAATAGGACATAAGAAAGCAATGTAAGAGATATAAATTTCCAAGCTAGATGACCTGAGATCTTCACTTCTATCATATTGTCTCTTGTTTTCTTCTAAACAGTTGTCCATGTCTTCGCATACAGAGAATTCACACAAAACAGCATAGTATAAAACTGATCTGACGGGGCTGGGGATTTAGCTCAGCGGCATAAGTGCCTGCCTTGTAAGCAGGCAGTTGTGAGTTCGATCCCTGGTACCGATAAAAAGGAAAAGGACAAAAAAAAAAAAAAAAAACCACAAAAAAATAAATAATTAAAACTGATCTGAACAGAATGAGGAAGACATTTTAGGTCTTCAAAACCAGACAATAGGGAAGTCACCAATGGCTGTCATAGAGTCTCTCGTTCTCTTCAAAATAGCTGTCCATACTTTCATGCATATTGAAGTTCAACAAAACAAAACGGGGAGAAGGGGAGGGGGAGGAGTTGCTTGGCTTCCTGGCACTCCAGGTCCCAGCATGGCGCGGGTCCCAGGCCGCTGCAGCCTGCCACACTCACAGCCGCTCACAAGGGCAGGGGTGGGGGGGTTGCTTCAAGCTTTTTCTTTCTAATGAATTGACCATTTCACTGCGTAAGTTCCGAAATGGTCAACAGACCATAGAAAGACAACTCTTTAGGCTCCTGCTTGATGAAACCAACAGTGTCCGGAAGCTGCCAGCCTTGATTCAGGGCCAGATTCCCTTCTATTGTATGGGTTCTCTTCTCTTCTCTCTTTCCTTTTTAATTATTTCTGGTAGTTTTACTGTATATTCTTTTGGTTTTTTGTTTTGGTTTGTTTACTTTAAGGAGAATAAAATAAAACAGAACAAAGCAAATCAGAAGAATGCAAACAACACAGAACTTCAAAACAAGGCAACAGAAAGTCAGCAGTGGCTACCATAATGTCTCTTGTTTTCTTAGAAATAGGTGACCATACCTTCACACACAATAACATCAAATATTAAAAAATAGTATAAAACCAATCAAAAGAAGAAAGCATTACAGGACTTCAAAACCAGACAACAGGAAATGAACAATGGTTACTATAATGTCTCAAGTTCTTCAAAACAGTTGTCCATACTATCACACATACTAAAATCAAATAAAACACAACAGAATAGAACCATTCAAAACAAAGAATAAAAGCATTATAGGACTTCAAAGCAAGATGATAGGAAACCAGCAATGGCCACCATAATGTCTCATTGTCTTCAAAATAGCTGTTCATACCATCGCACATAATAAAATCAAACAAAACAAAACAGAATAAAGCCAATTAAACAAAAGAATAAAAGCATAATGCTTAATGAACATCTTAATGATCTTTAAAGCACAAAAATTTAAATTTTGATGATGCTTTTATTTCTACATTTTCTACTGTTCTACGTTTCTTATTCCTCAAACTTTTGGTATTTTATCTAAAAACATCTACTGCTTAATCCAAGATTGCACAGGATTTATAGCTGTTTTAGGAGTTTTTACAATTTTAGCTCTTCCATTTTGGTTCTGGTCCATTTTGAGTTAATTTTGTACATGATGTGGAGATGAGTCCAACACAAAACCTTTCTGCATGTGGATACCCAGTTCCCACCATGCCACTGGTTAAAACCCTAATGCCTTCCCCATCAAATTATCTTGACACACTATTAAAAATCAATTGACAAAAGACAGAAATCTAGAATGTTCAAGAACTTCTGCAAGGAAATGAAATTAAGAAAACAGCTCCATTTATAGTAGTATCAAAAGTAATAAATGTGTGGGAATAAATTAATAAAAAGTATAAAACATAATCTAGGAATTACAAAACATCATTGAAGGAGGTTAAAGAAGATGTACACTGATGGAAATAAATGTCAGGATTTCAGTCCCATCCCATTCATGTCTCTACCTTTACAACAGTACCACACTGCTTTGGTTACTGAAGTTCTGTGTTATGTTTAGAAATCAGGAATTGTGAGTCCTTGTAATTTTCAAATGAAGCAAAATAATTCAGACACAGAAACTTAAATATCTCATTTTCTTTTATATGAGAAACTCAATACATTAATAATTTTAAAAACAAAGTAAATAATAGATAACAGGAAACAGAAAGATAAGTCTTCTGCAAATGGGAAGGGGATGAGAATGGAAGGAGGTCAAAGGGATGAGAAATAAATCATTCGAAAGAAAAAAGCAGCAGTGATCTTCTCAGTGCACAGCCTAAGCATAGTTCTACTGTCTCTGATTCCACTGTTGCCCTTGAAACATCAGCTGTATTTCTTGTTACCTCTGCTTGAAGATAGCTTTTGTCTCTGGTTGCTTTTAATTGTCACTGTCTTGGTCTTCTGAGCTTCACTCTAAACTCCGCATAAACTTTTTTGTGTTGAACCACTTTGTGATTCATGGTTTTATCGCTTCCAGAAATCTGTTAGCCTTAGATTCCTGCTGCCAATATTCCTTCTTCTGATGATAGAAATTCAACTAAACATAAGTCGGACTTTTCCACTCTGTTGTTGTTTTGTTTGTTTTAATTTTTCCTTCTGGAAACTTTCAGACTTTTTTTTTATACCAAAGATTGAACTCACAGCTTTGCCTTTGCCAGACAAGTGCTGTGCCACTGAGCTAAATCCCCAGCCCTTTCAGATTTATCTTTAAGGTGATTAATTCTCTCTTCAGCTGTATCTATTCTGTTGGTGAACTCAGCCAATCAGCTTTTAATTTCAGTAGTGTGTTTCATTTCAAGAATTTCCATTTGGTTCTTTTTCTATTAAATGTGATCTTTATATTTGAAAAATAATAAATTTGATCTTTATTATGTCTATTTCTTTTCCTGTTCATATATTCAGGCTTAGCTTCTTCCTGTTTAACCATAGCAAGCACAGTTGTTCAGCTGTGCCTGACCGGTCTCCTTTCCCCCGGAATCCCAGTCTCCAAGTGTATCTCCGTGGGGTTTACCTGCTATTTCTTTGGTTCCCAATCATTGCTTTGTTCTCCTTTTGCATTGATTATCTTTGTGTGCTGCTGCAGTGCTTGAACTGTTGTTTACAGGAAGCAGTTGGATGAAGCTTCTTTTTCCAGGATGATTGGCCCTTCTCCTGCCTCAGAGGTACTAGCATCCCAGGAATGGCTTGAGGCTCCTAATCACCACGTCCACATAAACCCGCGTCCAATCCCTTTGAAGCCCAGTTCACTCTCATCCTGAAGCTGTGGCCACTGGAGTTTCTGATTCTGGTCATCACTCGAACTCTTTCCATGGGGGCATTTTCATTTTAAAAGACAAAGATGGGCACCGTAGCGTGTGCCTCTAATCCTGGCACTCTGGGAGGCCGAGTCAGGATGCCTACTTCCCGCAGGTCGCAGGATCGAACAGGGTGAGGCTGCAGGGAGGCCCTGAGACTGCAGCCAGGCAGAGGCCTCAGTTGTGAAGGCTGCTGATTAGGGAACTGGTCAGCCAGAGAACTGCAGAGATGTCGTGGCTTCTGCGTGGAGAAGGTAGCTCCGAAGCTAAAGGGATGTTCGGACCCTGAGGAAAGCCTAGGAAGGCACAAGCAAAACAAAACAAAAACAGAAAAACTAAAACAGGGTGCTCTGCAGAAAGCCTTGGAAACTGCTACCATTTTCTCCGTGAGCCGCCTTCGCCGGCTGCAGTGTCGCCCGTGGCCACTAGAGGAAAGCATTTACACATCCTCCAGGACACAGCTCCAGCTTCCTGCACCTTTTTTTTTGTGTGTGTGACAAGGTTTTGCCATGCAGTCAGGCTGGCTTTTGAACTCACTTTGTAGCTCCCAGTAACCTCCAATTCACAGTGATCCTTCCTGTCTCAGCCTCACAAGTGCTAGGATTACAGGTATGCACCTCCACGGCTTTGAGTGTAGCTTTTGTCTGGCAGATCAACTGATTTTTTAAAAATTACTCATTTTAAAGGGAATAAAGCAGAACACAACAGCAAGAACAATATTGGATTTCAAAAACAGGACAGAAGGGAGCCCTCTCCCCATGGTTGCTGTATTGCATACTGCTACTCTCTAATAAGGGCTCAGACTGCTGGCTTTAGGCCTGCAAAGTCCGTCAAACAATATGAGCATTAAGTTGTTGTTTTTCTTCACTTGCTGTCCTCTCAGCCTGTGCCCGGGGCTGGGCTCCCTCTTCCCTCCTGACCCGCCGCTTGGCTTCTTGGTTTTCCTCCCTGTTGTCATGGCTGCGCAGGCTCACGGGAGGGCGTGGCTTTTGCCTGCCAGATCAACTGAATTTATTAAGAAAGGATCAATTTAGGCTCCTGGTTTCTTAGCAGCAAAACTATGTGGCTACTTTGGGTTTTCTTTTAATTTTTATTAGTACGTGCTTGCAGCACATACGATTACGTTTTTCCTGGGGCTGCTTATAAAGTCTCTTAATTCTCCTGTGTTGCCTTACCCTCATCTGGTTTGTATTTATAAAAGCACAAGAAGCCACACCCGTTAAGTTTCCTAAACTCTGAGATAACCAGTGGTATAAAAATTCCAATCTCGGCAGCCATGCAGAAGCCGAGCAGGAAAAGAACCTAGAAGTGAGTCCGCCCTTCCCGGGAGCCAGCCGGTGCGGGACTGGGAGATAGTAAGCGCCCCCTCCCATCCCCGTGTAGGCAACCAGCTGACTCGGAGGAACTCAGGCTGGGGTGATACCAACTGAGGTATAAAAACAACTTAATGCCTGTATTAATTGACTGACTTTGCAGGCCTGGGGCTGGTAGTAGTCTGAAGATCTATTTAGAGGCTAACAGTATGCAGTACCGCAGACTTGATTTTTTACTGTCAGTATTATTATTTGTCCTCCACTGAGGATTTTTCTTTCTTTTTGAGGCAGGACCTCACTGTGTAGTTCAGGAGGGCTTCAAGCGCCTGAGAGGCTGAGGCCAGAGGATCACCTCTTCGAGGCCACCCTGGGCTATGTAATGAGCTTCCATCCCAAGAAAACAAAATAATACATTAAATTAAATTTTTAGAAAATGTCAGTAAGCCGCCTAACGAATAAAGAGCACCAAGTTTTCCGTTCTGTGATTGTAAAGGTACATGTGGAAATGGCAGTGTACTTTATGCCCATGGTGTAGGAATATGACTCATATTTAGTTCTAAGGTTAACACTTTAACAACTGGAAAAGACTCAGAGGATTTGGGCGAAAATATGGACTTCTTCATGCACTGCTGAAAACCCACCGCTGGCCCAAGTTGGCGGCAGTTAAAATGTTGGCCACGAGGTGGCGCTGTCGCCTCAGTGTGGCCCTTTTCCCAGTCCTAGCCCGAGCTGGCCAAAGAGGCTGCATAATCCCCGGGTGTTTTAACGAGTAAATCTAAGAATTTAAAAATAAAATTAAAATTAAAAAAAAGATAAAATCACAATCTTATTCCCCAGCAGGCTCCTCCGACACGCGATCTGATTTCGGAGGAAGAGAGGCACTTTACACGAGCTTTGCTTGGCTTTGGACAGGGTCCCCCTGCTTGGGCTGCTATTCAGGGCTGAGGGTCCTGGGGGGCCCGGAGTTGCCGAACGAGGCCTTGCTCCTCTGGTCAGGGAGGAGGAAGGGAAACCGGGCCTGCAGAGGGGCAGCAAGAGACCATGTCCTGGAGTTGTCCCTGTGCTCCAGGGCCCCGTCTGCCCCGACACAGAATTTACCAGCTGGGGCCGCGAAGTCGACTGGGGTCACAAGTCTGGAGAGGCAGCAGCATCGCCCCGCACAGTCG